AATATATATATATATATATATATATATATTGGCAATTTTAACAGCAATGCAGTGCCAGATACCTGGGTGATTAGTATAATCAAATTAGAATATAACCATTACATAACAGTGTTAATGATAACTCTGGAACTCTCAAGAACATATACAGAAACCCTTTTCAAAGTTCAAATAAAATTTGACATCTTTATAAACTGTGTATAAGAAGCTCAAGTTTTAAGGAGTTCAAACATATTCCTGGAGGTGTTACATGAAAGCAAAACATTCGTCTACCCTTTTCAAATACAAAGTACTAGTTCATTAATATGACTGAGATCATTTCCAGAAAGTAAGAGAGAAACAATTCCAAAGTGAAATTCCTAGAATTTAAGCTAATTACATAATAAATGTGTAAAATAACAGAAATAAGGAAGTAACAGCCAAGAAAAATAGGCTATGTTAGCTCCAAGTAAGTAAAAAAATCATTTACTGACAGAAGAGATGTTAAGTATCAAGAACAATGCCAGAGACTAACAGTATCCAAAACGGCATTCCAGTATTAAAAGCCTCTTTCATCCCTCTACCATGTCACATTAACAACACCACTATACCCAATTCATCACTGATGAAGGAAGGTTTCATTGTGCTTTTAACACAAAAAGTTACTAAAAATTAAGGATTTATTTGTATGTTATGCCATCTGGATTTTCTATTTATTGTATTCAGATTCCAATTTTTGATTACAAAATTTCAGCAGCTAACAAGAACTTTTAAATGAAGAAGCAAGTAATTTAACAACTAGTTTGCAGCTATAATAAAATCTATGACACTTACCATTCTTCCAGGTCCCAATCCTTTAACTGAAACACGTACATGTTTGATACCCCTCTCAAGTGCTTTCTAAAAGACAAAATAAACTTAGACACAGGAAAAAGTTATAAAAAAAAGCACTTTAAGCTCAATTATCAGTAGGTACTTTTGACTACAATTGTTTTATTTTTATTAAGGTGAATACAAGACACACAAAAGATAGTTCTCATTAATAATGTTTGTAGATTTACATTTGTAGACTGCCTAAAAATATTTTTTAAGCACACCTACACAATCATTTGTATATGGCTTCAAATACTTAACACACTATTAATTAGGTGATGTATACAAGTATATTTATCCTTATTCTAATACTTTCACTACCACCAATAATTTCTTCATCTTGTACATGATTCACATCATAATATACAAAGGTTGAGTATTGTTATGTTATATTAAAACTATTCTAAGTATGCAAATTAGTAAGTCATGTGACAACTATAGCCAATATAAAATCATGATGGAATGACATGAATCAGAACTACATTTTAACACTGTATGGCATTTCATAGTTAGGGTGATGCAACTAAAAATTGATCACATGGTTCTCACACACTCAAATCAAAGGTGTTCAGATTTGGGATTTATAATTTTGAAGAGGTAGATATCCTTTGCACCTGTGGCATTGAAAACAGAGGAATATATAGATCAACTTGGGGTACCAGGACCATTTAGAAAGAGACCTGCAACAAGTCTTACCCCAACAGTGGTAAGCAAAATGTAGTATCGTGTAGCAGCTGAAAATCAATAAATACAAAAGTCAGTGGCAAAAGCCAGCCATGTGCCCCAGGTAACAGTACACAACATAATCAAATCATTTCCATAACATATCCGTTTGGCTATTGCACAGTATTTCATATGAAAACTTGCAAGTCAAGTCAGAAGATGCTGCATTTATGTATCTCTGTATAATAGGGCTGTTACAAAAGGCACTGGGACACTGTCATTCTTGTACATTAGATGACTTATGTATGGAGAGAGGGGTGCACTTTTGATATGATTGCCTTACAACAAATTCTTTTGTAATGTAAATTATGCTACAGGGCTATTGTAAAAATGCATGGCTGCCATATGAAAATATGACTGGACAATGCAACATGGACTGTAATGATGAGGTTAGGTTCCAAAATTGACTTAATACAATATACTCAACCTTACATAATTTAATTAATCAACAAACCAAAAACAGTTTTGAAGCAACTTTTAAAAGTCATTAGAACATACACAAATATATAGATATATACATGTATCCCAAGAACTCACAAGTGACAGCAAGAGAGAAACTTTTATAATGTCAACCACACTACATCTGCCATATCCAGTGCTGAAAAGGTCTTTTACCCAATACCAAGGCTCAATAGGCCAGCTCAAATATGACAGGCAGAGTAGTGATCTCTAAGCACAATGTATATCAACTTTCATGAACGACTGTTATGGTGTGAAACAGATTAAACTGGAGAATTGTAATTATCATTATTTTTACTTAAATCACATATAAATCAGATTTCTATTGCAAGAATGAAAAACACATTATTTAAATCTCAAGTTAATTGTATACAAAAAAAGAAATGAAGGTTGTTTGTTAAAAAACAACAACTATATTTTCTTATTAATGTATTCCTGAATAAAATTACTTTATCTTCACAGCTTCATTTCATATACAAGAACTTTTTAACTTTCAGTACTACTTGGATGAAGACATAGTTAAATGGTAACATTTACATACTGAATTAGCTTTAAGAATTATGAAAACATCATACTTTATTAGTTAGTGCCACACAAACATTTCTGGCACATCAACCATAAATGCATTCTTCGTAATTAACCTTGAAAACTCTGTTTGCAGTATTTTCAGTCTTTTTTATTAATATAATTGTCGCACTCAAACATTTTAATATTTACTCAATCACTGTATAACTGTTTAACTGACAATTTATAGTTTTTTTGTCTGCCCTTTTTTGAAAAATTTATTCCACACATTTAGTTGTCCATAACAAACTCTTACCAAAACTATTTTAAAGACAAATTTAATAATCTGGGATTTAATACAAAATAAAATTTTTAACACTTTAGATTTAATATCCAATTAACTACTGGAAACTTTATTACTTCCTTCACAGAATACTTTGTTATGCTGAAAAAATGTGTTCAGAAACATGTTAGCAATGCTAACTCTACACTTGCAACAAGTCATAAAATTTTGCTTCTTAAAATAATTTAGCTTCATTGTTCTTTCATGGTATTTTTAACAAGACAATCCATTTTGTTTTCAAAAAGAATTTATCAACTCACCATACTTAAGGATAATGCAGCAGCTTGGGCAGCCACATTAGTTCCTTTCTTTGTATTCTTGAATCCTTCCATTCCCTAAGATTAAAAAAAAATCAATGTAAAATTGTTCTATTTCAGACAATATACTTTTATTGTTGTCTTGTCTAATGCATCACAATTTAACCAATAAGTTATATCTTTAAATTCTCTTTTCACAAAGAGATTTAAGTATTACTCTTGATATTCAGTTTTTTTTATTAACAAACATTTCTTTTTAGCAAAAATGTTATCAAATCTCAAAATTCTTGAGTTACTTAAAAGAACCAGAAATTTAAACTCATAATTTTATACATATCTATTACAGTTCCACTATAAGAAAAAGTAAATGTCCATCAAAGTGTGGTGGGAATGTTCCCTTCCTATACCATAAACTTTCTGATGCTGAGCAATAACTGATGTATATAATAGGCACTTATAATCATGCCTGTATTTCAATGATTCTGAGACATTTTTGATGTAAAAACAGTCAAGTTATCCAAATTCCTTGGGCCCAATACAACAATTTTCATGTTTCTAAAGTTTCCAATGTCTTTAAATGATGAAATTATTGTCCAAACCTAGTTTACTGTCTGTGTTAGATACTGTACTCATGAATGAAGTCATTGTGAACTGTGACCTGCTGCATGTATCAAGAACAATTTACTGTACTTCTTGCAATACAATGACACCTCACAGTGGAAATATTGTAATATGGGAGCAAGCTTAGTGACACTGAATGTTTAAAGTGCCTCCAAAAACATCTACTACTTGCAACTTGTCTTAAAGTTAAAATATACAGCACACTGTTTACAAAGTAGAAGATTCCTTGCAGCATCCCATATTGGTTTTCACGAGTAAGTCTGTATATAGGATTATGTTAATAAATAGGGTCTGAAGTGGTTAGGGTAAAACGATGGATCACTTCTAAAATCGCACAGTTAAAATAAGCAGGTTTAGCTACAGCTATAAAATTTCTGGGTGTGTTTTCATGCAATTAAAGAATACCTGGGGGAGAAATCCTAGATTCAGCCAGGGAAAAACATATGTTTACTGATTAAAAAAGTGGGATACATGGAAACCCTAGATATATAAGTGTATATGTAAATACATTAGTTTTCACAAGTAACAGTCTATATATAGTATGTTACTAGAGTAATAAATATACTGACTCAATGCATTTTTCCTAAATCTTCTCAAAATTAACTTTGTCATTATGCCATTTTCTTGCATATCTAATCCTTTTAAACATATCAAAAGTACAATAAAAAGTTAAACATTCAAACTTCAATGAAAACAAGCTGTTAACAGCTGTATAAACCTGAAAGTTATGTGTCTATCAAAAGAGGTTGATACTTTGTCAACAATAACATGATTGTACTAAATTGATTAGCTTAATGGGAACTGGTTGTCAAAGCAAATTAAACCAAAGTGGAAAAAAAGTAGTTATATTTAAAATTAGGAGTAATAACTGTTAATTTTATTTGAAGCAGTGAATGGAGCAATGATTTTTTTATCCACATTACTAAAAAGATACCGATTTTAATAACAACTTCAGTATTTTTCAACATGCCAACTTTCTACAGAAAATCCATCATTTGGAGATTAAGAATTCTTTTTTAATTGTCTAAAGAGAACCTAAAGTGAAAAGTACAGACATCTTTATATTTCAATAATCATATTTCATTTATGCTTATTTAACTATATTCTAGATAATTAAAAATATTTGTGATGCAATTTTTTTTTTTCAGAATTCTTTTAAGACTAAAATGAATTAAAACAGCTGCATCACACGGAAACAGTACACATAGATCACAGATACTGAATGAGTGATGGGCGAATTACGATGACTGCCTTATTATTAATTCTATACATTTCTGCTGTAGTTTTTCATCTTTATTGGCATCATTAAAATAAAAAGTAAAATATTTTTTCTATTTATAGGTTTATGGACAGTGTGAACATTTGACTTTTTATGATTGACCGCCTGTACATTTACAGATGATTTGTAGCCTTGGCTTTGCTCAACCGAGAAATTAAATCATCTAGTGGATTTTAATGACAATTTAGTTTCTATTGGCTGCATTTTTGTTAGTAATAATGTTTTTTTAAAATTACAAGGATATTCTAAGGTACGGATGTTTAAGGACAGTGATTATGATTTGTTTGAAGTTAAGCACAAAGCTACAGAATGGGCTGTCTGTGCTCTGCCCACCATATATATCTAAACCCAGTTTTTAGCATTTTAAGTCTGCAGATATACCTCTGTGTCACTGGTGGGCGAAGGGGAGGGGGGCTTGATGTTCTGTGACAGCATAGTATTTGATGACAGAAATGTTTTTTTTTTGTATTAGTAAATTATTAGAGAAATGTAGTTTAATCAAAAATATACTTGAAAAAAGTGTATAAACATAGATTTTTGTGTGTCACATGGTATATTGAATGCAGCACTGGTTCAAATTAGATGTTTGTGAAATCAAAATACTAAGTCTATAGTTTCGTACAAATTACAAACTCAAATTACTGATATTGACAAGCTAGAATATAAAATAAAAGCCTCTTTTTCAGTTTGATAAGATAATGCTCATGTTGATATCTCAACAAGATAGGGTGTGTCTTTACTCTGCTCGAAATATCATTTTTTACTAAAATACATCTCAATTACTAAGCTTGATAAATTATAGTGGAATTCTGTGGCATTAATGTAGTAATTTATTATTTTTTAGTTATTCAAATGTATATATAAAACCTAAAAAAATATTTTGTTTCATATCCTCCACATGCAAATTTTTTAAGAGCTAACAACCCACGCCAAACAGCAACTGAGTACAAAGGTTCTAACTAGAAGAGAATTGTTTACTTTATTTCTTTAGTTACTCTTCTATGTTTTACGAAAAATAAGTTTAAGAACTTATTTCAAAATAGCAATAATCTGTATACATATATAATGTAT